CCCAGAGGTGAAGACAATATGATGTGTAAAACACAATTTGAAAAGAATGGATTTTGTAAAACTAAAGAAAAATATATTTGAATGTTTTTTTTTAAATATTAAATCTGTATTTTTTTAATGAAATTTGAGGAAGGACGATTTGAAAATGTTAAATCTGTTGATAAAGTTTTAGGGGGAAAAAAAGTTATTTAAAAAATGAACTAACTAACTAACCACTGCAAAAAATTAAAAAAAAGTTAACAGATTTTTCAATTTTATTTCACTTTAATATGGAAAAAAAAAAAAAATCTGAATTAAGATTTTTTTTTTCTCTCAGAATTCTGACTTTAATCTCAGAATGCTGACTTTAATCTCACAACACAACTCTGACTTTTTTGCCATATTAAACTGAAATAAAATGTAAAAGTCAGTTAAGTTTTTTTTTTTTTTTTTCCCAGTGGCCCTAATCCTCTTCCGTAGTATCGCATTTTCGCATTTTTTGCAAACGTAACTTTTTTAGAAAAAGTGATTTTGCTTGCTACAATAATAATGACACAAAATGCACTCCATACATTTACTGACTTCCGGGGTAGCGTCAGCTGACGGTAGAGTCACGTGAATACTACTTCCGTGTTTATAGGAGGTTAACTAATGTTCCTTTTACTTGGAAAGGAGAGTTTTTCGGTCGCTTAAATAATTGATAAGGGGTAAAATAAAGCAGTAACTTAAATAAGAGAAGACCGCGAGCTGCCAACAGTAAGTTTTTTTGTTTTACCTTTTATTTTTGGGATAGTTTTCAGCATTTGTTTTAACGGAAATACACATATTTGTATATACAATAGTATAGATGAATGACTTAAAAAAAATTTTTTATGATAAATGCTGACATTTGCTGTTGCAATCCAGCATTTTTACTCAAAGAGATGAACATTTATTGTCAGTCTGATGGCTGTCAAACATTTAACATTTAACAGATGTCACTCAGCAGGTTGGTGTAGCTTGCTGCTCCCAGTCAGCTGAGTATCACAAGGTTTAAGGTGTTTGTTAAGGTTAAACACACCTTGAAAACAACATCACACCTTTTTAAAAAGTGCTTTAAAATATGCTTTCTTGTTTTGCAGGGCATTTATTTTCTTTTTGTTTTTTCCTCCATAAGGTTCCCATGTTTTATCACACACTGTTCTTGAAATTAATTGGAAGTATTTAAATATATTTGGGTTTTTTTAGACTTAGACAGATTTATTTTGTCATTTTGAGAACACGAATGTAAACAAAAAGAAATTTCGATAAGAACAGCTATCCAGACAATTTCATTTTTTTTAAAAAGTGCAGCCTTGAAAACAGTAAACAATACATAAAAAAGTAATATAAACATATGACTGTATATTTACAGGCCAATACACAGTTACAATGTATTCATGCCTTACAACCACAAGCTAAAATGTATTTGATCAAGGTTCAATCTTGATGAACAACAAAAACCAGGGCACAGTTGTGAACTGGCAGAAAAACCAAACTTTTTATTTGTATTTAATTTTCTTTTTTAAATACGTAACTAGAAAACCTCAGATGATGCCCCTAAATAAATTGCATTTCCTCAAGTTGCTTTAGAGGATGTCATATAGAGATGAAACCAAACTAAACTTAATTACCTACGTACATAGGATTTTGAGCAAAGTTTTTACCATTAAATTATGCAAAACCTGTCAGACGCAAAACATTTCAGAAACCGTATGTATCAAATATGATACATTTGGCATTATAGGGTTAAACTTAAAGGGAAGCTGGATGAAGCCTAAAATAGGAAAAAAAATAAATAAATAAAGATAGTAAAACGGTTCACATTTTAGCAGGATAATAACAGCACCCACTGTTAAAATGAACATTATTGACTTAAAAGCTGGTTTTCATAGAGGCTTCATATCCAGTCTGACTGAGCCTGAGCTGTTTTATAAAAAAGAAGGAAATAACTTTAGTTTCTAGATATGTAGCCGGTACAGCCAAAACCTGTCAGGGGCTGCAGCTGTAATTGCAGGAAAATGTTGTTCTATAAGGTCTTGATTGGGGTGATTGAATAGAACTACTGTTGTCTCAATCGATTAAAAGGTGTAAGTAATGCTGATGTTTATGTGTTCTTTTTCTGCTTCTTCTCAACTAAGCACTTAATTGTTTAATTCTATCACATAAAGTCACTCTGATATATAAAGTTTGCATCTATAATGTAATAAAAAGTAAAAAAATTCTTAAGGTTTTACTTTTGTGTTTGTGGTTATTTAAAAGATTATAAAACTTTCTTGTTAAAGATTCATCTGAATGCTTTTCTAGTTCAATTTTTAATTAGATTTCCCTTTTTTTCCCACATTAGGAATGCATTTTTCAGTGCTTTTTTTTGCCTCTGTGGCCTCCATGACCACCTTTGCCCTTGACAATGGACTGATGAGGACACCTCCAATGGGCTGGTTGGCATGGGAACGATACCGCTGTGACATTGACTGCAAAAACGACCCAAAGAACTGCATCAGGCAAGCAGGCTTTTAATAAAAAAGCACACTTAAAGAGATATTATTTTATATAGGCAATCCAAAGGTATAACATTAGGTAAATTGTTTATTGTTTTTTTAATAGTGATGGAGGATGAAATTAATGAAATTATTCCACTTTGATGCAGACAATAGTTTTATTTAAATGCAGCATGAGTTCTTGCTAAGTTCAGTGGTAAACATTGCATTTCTCCCTCCAGTGAGAATCTATTTATTGACATGGCGGACAGACTCTTTGAGGACGGCTGGAAGGAACTGGGCTACGTCTATGTGAACATAGACGACTGCTGGGCTTCAATGGAGAGAGATAAAAATGGACGGCTGCAGCCTGACCCTAATAGGTACAGAATGGAGGCATTCAGACATCAAAAGTCTTTTTTTTTTTTCTCTCATGTCTAATTTAACAAGCCAATAAAACAAAAGGAGTGTCAGTACAACAGTGTCACAAACTCAGCCAAGCACCTAATCCTACAGATATCATCAGTGCACAGTCAGCAGAAGTGCAGAGCAACCTTTGGGCTCTTATGGAAGTTTTGATGCGTAGATGACCCACTATTTTAAAGAAATGGGAACGTTTTTTTACTGTTACTATTGGATCACAATAGTATCTTAACCACGGTTTGAAATAGTGATAACATTCAGTAGTTAATGTTTTACTTCCAATGTTTGATTCAGGTTTCCAGGGGGAATCCATAGGCTGGCGCGATACTTGCATGACAGGGGCCTCAAACTGGGTATCTATGGCGACATGGGCACCCATACTTGTGGGGGCTACCCGGGGACAACGCTGGATAAGATTGAAATTGATGCTCAGACATTTGCAGACTGGGAGGTGGATATGTTTAAATTCGACGGCTGTTATTCCAACGCTCTTGAGCAGGAGCTGGGTAAGAACGCTTAAGATTTTAGTTTGGTCCTACTGGTTGGTTATTCAGCGTGTAATCCCGATTGACCCTTGTGTTTTCTTTTTTTCTTGTAGGATATCCCCAAATGTCAAAGGCTTTGAATGCAACCGGTCGCCCCATTGCCTACTCCTGCAGCTGGCCTGCTTACCAGGGTGGACTTCCACCAAAGGTATTTAATGCTGGCAAATAGATATGAGAAGAAGACCTTGTTCTATCAGAACCAGGAAATGTTTTTTGGTTGTGCTTAATAAAATCAATATAAATTACGTTTCAGGTGAATTACACTCAGCTCGGACAGATCTGCAACCTTTGGCGTAACTATGGTGACATCCAAGACTCATGGAGCAGTGTGCTGAGCATCGCTGATTGGTTCTTTAACAACCAGGATGTACTGGCCCCAGCAGCCGGACCTGGGAGGTGGAACGACCCTGACATGGTTGGTCTTTGTGATCCATCCATCGATCCTTCCTTGCTTCCTTCCATTCTTCCGACTTGGTTATTTATGTACTTAGTTATTTAATTCTTATAAATGTATTTACTAATTCATGTAGCCACTTTTTTACTGACTTCACTGCAAGAACGAGCTAGAAAAAGGTAAAAAGTTCTTAGATTAAGTGTATTTACCCTTAATTGTAGTAGTTAAATAAGATGATTTGCCAATGGAATGAGTATTTTTACTCTTAAAAGAAGATAATTAGATAATATGCATTTGAAATAAGACAATGCAATTATTCTTATTTTTAACGTAAATTGTGTTATTCCATTGGCAAAGGGCCCCATTTTGCTCCTCAATCAAGAAAAAATGCACTTATTTTAAGAAAAAAAAAAACTTATTTAGATAAAAAATTCTCCAGTGTTACAAAGCTACTTATAATTCAAATTAAGTTAGATATTCAACACTTATTCCATAAGTTGTTTATGCTCTTAGTTAGTTAATCATTTAATCACTTTTCTACATTGCTTCTTACTTTATAAAAAAGTTATTCATTACATTCGTTGTTCTTTAGTTCCTTACATAGGTCAGATCTACAGGGGGGCTAAGCTAACAAATAATTTAGTATGTTACCAAATTATATTTGAGCTCAGCCCCCTGTAGACTTAGCGATTTAACTGCTTTACTTAGTTTTTTGAAATCCATTTTTTGGTGGTTGTGCAAACCCCTTTAAAAGGCCTAAAAGTCTCAAAGATTGGAGTCCTTAAAAGTCTGAATTTGTTTAGGAACGCTCTGTCTCTATTTCTAACATGTTCTTGCTCATAATGAGACAGTATCTCTCTCAATGGGAGATAAGGAGATTTGATTTGTCAAAGAGGCTGGAATTTCTCCAGTTAGATATCTACTTTGACTGGGTGATCATTTTTTGTTCTCAACAGCTGGTAATTGGAGATTTTGGCCTGAGCATGGACCAGTCCCGTTCCCAGATGGCTTTGTGGGCAATCATGGCTGCTCCCCTGTTCATGTCCAACGACCTTCGCACCATCAGCAGTGGAGCCCGCAGCATCCTTCAAAACAAAATGATCATCAGCATCAACCAGGACCCCTTGGGCATCCAGGGAAGACGTATTCTCAAGGTGTGGATGTTGCTGCTGTTACATCATTGGCAGTGAGCAAAATAAAAACGGAAACGATTAGAAATTTGATACATGCTCTGACATGCTTTCTATCTTAAGGAGAAGAATGGGATTGAGGTGTTCTGGCGCCCCCTGTTGAACAACGCCAGCGCTTTAGTGTTCTTCAGCCGCCGTACTGACATGCCCTATCGCTACCAAACTTCCCTAAAAAAACTCAACTTCACCACAGGCAGCTACAAGGTAGGTCTCTGACATTTAGTTTTCCAGTGCTGGTTAAGGCTTTAATGAGAAAATTGTTTTAATGCGGAGATTTTCATTCAAGAATCACTGCTTTCACTGTTTTTTTTTTTTTTTTCCTAGTTCACTGATGTCTACACTGGCCAGACTGATGTCCTCAAGGACTCCACTGAGTTTGTGGTTTCTGTGAACCCAACAGGTGTGGTCATGTGGTACATCTCAGCGCCTGGCAAACTACAGTACCACCCATATTTCAAAGGGAACAAACTCCATAAACCGGCCTACGTTGCAGAGGAAAATGCTTTTCCTCGAGTCTTTCTTTAAACCTTTATTATCTGTTAAAGGTTTTAGAGTTTTTTCCTCAGCGTCATTGTCCACATTTAGTCTGATTTGCATCAACTTCAGCCATTCGCTAAAAGCGTTTTTGTTTTTGTTTTGGGAACCTCAGAGTGATTTAGGCTTTAAGTTTTTATACAATTTCAGCAATCATACTCGCACAGTTTTTTTGGGGGTTGCAGATACGGTTTGATTAAATCGCAAAGAGATTTTATTCTCGGCGGTGATTTTGTAATCTCACATATAAAGCCGTTTAGAACTGACTTCAAATCAACATGTTTTGTCTATTTGTTTTCTAAATCTATTCCAAAGAAATTTTCTTAGACAAAATGAACTAAAATTCAAGAATTGTTGGCACTGTCACAACTACTTTATAGATAAAGTAAATTCTCTATTTTTCTTTTTTTTTTTTCTTTTTAGAAAAATTTTATAGAAAAATTTGTTTGTAAAAAATGTCCTATTCTTTTTTTAAATAAAAATAAATTTTATAAGAAGGTATTCCTTGAGTTTATTTGAACTTAAGTAAGTTTTAGGAATAGCCGTTTGATGTTTATTTATAAGTTATAAGTTTTTTTTGTGATATTCACTAATGAACTGTGAAGTTTTACATTGTTTTTCTTTTCTAACGGATTAACCAAGAGTATATTTAATCAGAGGTTCATCTAAATAAGAGCAAACTTAAATGAAATTGGTGTGAAGTATCAGCCATGAATTATGTGCTTTAAGAAAGAAATGCATAAGTATTATGTTGAGTCTCTTTCCAATCTACCCATCCTTTATGCCCATTGTTGAACCCTTTGTATTACGTAAGCAGCCCAGACAGTGTTTGCATTCTCCCAGTACCTTTATTACACAATGATTGCAGAACTAGGAGCATTTGGCAAGTCCTTATTTTCCTCACAACTGGTTCTTAAAGATGTATAATTGAACTCACGTTGGAGAAATGTACCTCTGCATTTAATCCATCCCCTTGGGGAGCAGTGGGCTACCATCATGGGGCACCCGGGGAGCAGTGTGGGGTTGAGCGTCTTGTTCAGAGACTCAGAGTGGCAGTCTGTGGGAGTGGGGCTTGAACTCAGAACCTGAGGATTCCAAGCTCTGTTCCCAAACGATTAGGCCGTCATCCCCTTATGTATGTAATCAATGACTGTTATAAATTCTGTTGTAACAGGTTATTTATTATTATTTACAGCATATAAAATGCTTTACAGATTATTGCAGTTTAACATAGAATTGATCCTAATCGAAGAGCTGGATTCAAATAACAACAAAAGTCTATAACGTTATTTAGTCACAAATCTTACATAGTGACACAATCGGGTTCCATTTTTTCGCCTATAAGGAGTAGAGATGCTCATTTTCTTTAGTATCTATTAGTGTTGCACCGATACCAGTATCAGGCAGGCACTGATATCATTTTTAGAGCCAAAAGTTTATTCAACTATTGTCACCCATTCCAGATAGGCAATAAAAGTTCTACTGGATTCACTTTGTATTAGTCTTTTTCCTGCTTCACAAAGGCAGGCAGCAGCTTGACAAAGCCATGATGGCAATTATTTTACATCCAAGTAGTATTTAGCTCTTCATATGAATACACACACACCCACCAAACACGTGGTATTGGTATCATATCAATATCGGCCGATACTGCACAGTTAGGTATCGGGGATCGGTATCGGACCAAAAAAAGACATCGGTGGAAAAAAAACAACAAGTATCTATTACCTAAACTGTATATTCAATAGGGATGAAATAAGACTGTGTAATGTTTTCTATTAGATGTTTTATTTGATGTAGAAATTGGTGACAGCTGTTCTAGTGTTCATTTTTCAGCACACTGTAAATCATCTGGTCAAAATCTGTTTTCCAGTTCTTCAAAGGAGACTTTTTTTTTTAGATTTATGTGCACAAGGAGGTTAGCATTGTTTAATCAGATTTTTTTTTTAAGTTGCCACAAATGACTTTGACCTCACAAGACTTTTAATCTTGATCCTATTTATTAATGATGTGCAAAAATACTGTCAGAGCATGACATTTATTACCGATACTTACTAAATACAGTGGAAATAGGCCTGGGCTCCATCATGCGATTCTAGTCAATCCCCTTTACAGATGCGTTGTTAAACAAGGGTCATAATGAACTGACTGAAAAGGAAAACAAACCCAACGATCCTTGTGCTGCTATATAAATTGATAAATGGCCAAGTCTTTACACAATATGTAACACAGACAGGGTTGTTTGATAGCTTAGTTACTAAAACATACCCTAATTTGATTATTAGTTCTTTTTTAAATACATGGCAGACATGTTGCTAAAATACATCAGTTTCATAAAAATTATTACAAGTAATACGTGAATAAATGAGGTCTTGCTTTAAAACAATCATCTTAAACAGTGACGGCATGATATAATCAATGTGTTTCATAAAATATCTGTTTCTGACAAACGGCAGTATAAAGAATCAAAGGCTTAAATTAAATTCCATTTTAAATTACTCAGCATCATCTTGAATCCATCAGAGGGTTTTGGCCCAGAATATTTCTACTGACATGTGAAGAGACTTGTTTTTCATTTTTATCTTTCACTTCATTTTTCTTCAAACTATGTCACTTAAAGTGACCTTTGCCAAGAGCATTAAAATCCCAGTCCTGCTTAGGTAAGACTGTTGTTGTGATTTGTGGTGAGAAAACTTCTACATGTCTTTTGGAAACAAAAGTCCTCTATGCTTTGTGCACAGCATAAATTTAAAAAGTGTTGATTTTTTTGTTTGAAACAATAACAGACAATTGCCCAAATTGTGGGCTGATCCATATATAGGCCACGCCACATACACAACAGAGAGAGAGATATAACTGCAAATATATAAACTGTTTAAGGGATATGAACACCTTTGAGAAAAGCTGTATATTTCTACCCCACATCTTCATTCCTAAGGTGTGGATTTTTTTCTGTACATTCACTATGAGCCTGTAGAGGTCAGCATCACTCTTCAGTCTATATGAATAGCAACATGCGTCTGTCAGTCCCATCCTCTGCCAAAAAATGCACCTGCTCAACAGCACAAGGACAATCAGGCTATTCATTTGGCTCATTTTTCTTGCTGCTATGATTTGCTTTCTGCTGACATCACTTTGTCCAATTTTGACACATTTACTACAATGTATAAACTGTTTTTATGCTCAATTTTTTCCTTGAATCTCCTTAACTCTTTATTGTATTTATTCTGTCACCTCATCTTCTCTCTCCCTATGCTATCTTCTTCCTTTCTCAGTCTCTTGCATGTCACCTCCGACCTTGGCCTTATAGCCCAGTGTTTGCTCACACTCTTAAGATGCTGGAGTAGTCACATGGGCCTATAGTGTGGTATGCATGCATAAGAAACTTGCTCCTTGTGATTTGTTGCCACACACACATTGCTCTCCTTGGTCCTTTCAGGCCAAATTGTGTGTGTGTGAAACAAGATCTTTGCCTTCTTTTCTTCTCCATTCAGCCTGCTCAGATATCTGTTGGCTAACTGAGCAAGAGCCTATCTCTCCCTAGTCCAGGGCCACATCGTTTGGCAGCCTGACATGGGATTGAAGTATAGGGAGTTATGCCTGAGATAATGAGAGAACAGTGAAGAAGGATTTGCACAAAGGAGGATGGCAGGGGCCCTCAAAAAGTCTGTTTGGGGGTGCAAATGAGTGAAGCAGCAAGGGGAAGAGAGCAGAGGAGATGAGGAAGAGTGGATAAGGGAGGGGCGGAGAGGAGAGGAGCGTTCCTGCCGATGCTCACGTAGGCCCACAGCTGCAGAGAGTCGCAGTTGCCAGTCTCGTCTTTGTGTCGTACTAACACCCCTGATTCTGTTCTGTTCAGCCCTCCCTCCTGCAGCCCTCCCACTCATTTCTGTCACGCTGCTAGTCACACTCCCTGCCTCACACCTCCAAGATCCCAACACACGGAGGGAATTTTGACATTAAATGTATTCAGACGAGACTTTCTATATAGGCCAGAATAACTGCACCATCTCTGAAATGTGGGCTGAGGCTTAGTCATTCAGGTGCAGCAGCAGTGAAAGGAAAGTGAGAAGCAGCCTCTAGTGTCTTGTAATTACATTTATCTTTGTCTAAATTCTCTAAATCTGCAATTAGAAAGACTCAGTGTTTGTGGACACATTCTTTTTTGTGCAGTGATACAAACTGGATTGTTTTTCGATCTAAAGAAACTGCAACACTTGTTTCCATGCACCTGATCCTGGTATCACCCTACCACATCATCCGATGCTGCCAGTCTGCTTGGCTGGCTGCTAACTCGTGACATCACCATCCTTTAACTCCAGCCAATACCGGAAAGCTGATATGCACATACACCATAATCTCTTCCCCCTTTTTATGGTGGTGTGATCCTCTTTGACTCTAAACCTTTTACAGAAAACAATAAAACATGCTCATATGATCCACCAACAGAAACAAAAGATTCCTCTATTACTGAATAGAGAAAGAAAAAACAGCTTTTCAAGCTTTATCTGTGCCTGTTTGAGACCACACCAATGTTTGGCACCTTTGTAATCTTGATTTTACTCCCATATATTTTATATATAAGCACAAAACTCAATATATCGGAATACCCGTCAGTTCTGTCAGATGGAAATTTAAATCCACAAATGTAGTCAAATTACCGGTAAATATTTTTTTAATTATTTATAAAAGTTATATTAAACAAAAATGTTTGGCTTATTAAGGAAATTAAATATAAAATAAAATTATTTAGCTTTTGCTCTATCCAGTGGATCAGATCTGCCTCGCCTTGCAAAAGTATTCACACCCTTCAATCTTGCTGTCTCTTTGTAACATTAAACCCATCATCATTAATTTGAACATATTTGGATTTCATTCAATAGATGATACTTCTGAAGAGGAATGGTGCCATTTTTAATCTATTCAAATACATTTAATTGTATAAAACAAAGAAAGCGTTCTGTATATGTATTCAGCCCCATAAGGTAAAAGTTTGGAGTTTTGCCACAGATTCTCAGTTATCCTTAAATGTAGAGTTGGACTGAAGAGAAGCTGCCACTTTCATGTTATTACTGCTATGGTGCAAACCAAAAACATCTTGGACCAGAGCATTTTTCTCCACGTTAGCTGTGTTCATATGGCTTCCAACAAACTGCAAACAGACTTATGTTTGTTTTCCACCAATGGCTTTTTTTTTCTCAGCACTACTTCATAAATAATAGCGTGCATGACTGAAAGTTGTGCTGTCAACATATAAAGGCAGCTAGATTCAACAGCTTGAAAGAGTGAAAAAGGCTAAATTTCAATACTGTTTATACATTTGTGTTTGAATCCTTTTTGTCAACTTCCTAATTGTTCACCGCTTTCTTTCTGTGGTCACAAGACCCACA